TGATAACTTGAATTCGTTAAATATTAAAGTAAAATCAAATATAAATGTTTACTCAATTAGGTGTAGGTTGTGTAATTTCAGCTTGCCATTCTTAGTCATGGACACATCGGCAGAATTGATATTTGATACGACATGCCAATATTCTAATGCAAAATCGTTTGTAACGTTCATTTTGATTGGATAACGTCACCAATTTTCATGGCATCAATTCACAATTGATGCCATGAAAATGTACGCGCATGCGCAAACGACGTATGACAGATTTTAAATTTATGATTTGACGTTCTTTTCTGTCACTTTCATTAGAATGGATATAACAATATTGTATATTAAGCTCCGACGGCATCAATTGGTGATTTGATGCCGTCGGAGCTTAAAATACAATTCAGTTATCTTCTTATTGTAAGGGACTGGTCATTTTCTTTCATTGTGGGGATGGGAGGAAAAAGTGGAATTTCTCTGAATTTGTTCACTTTCCCACCTTGAGGAAGGAAAATAAATTCAAGACCCCCCCCCCCTTTTGTACTACCCCCCCCCCCCCTCCCAAAAAAAACAAACTTTTCCAGATACATTTAAGGGCATACGATACAGTACCAGGGGAGGTATTGACGTTGCTAACGTAATATGTTATTTTTCGCAACGTTAAACGGTGACGTATCGGGAAAAGATCCATTTTTCGAGTGATTTTAATCATTATCTTGAAAACGAGTACATGAACCCTTCTTTTTAAAAGGACATTTGACTTGATACTGAATGAAGATTATTTATACCAATTTTTGTATATATTTTTTTTATAACATATTTAAACTAACTAAGTGCAAAATAGCTTGTATGCAAATTTTCGTATCGTATGCCCTTAATAGTTTTATTAATAATGACTTTATTTTGATATATATAATAATGAGGAAATGAGGTTTAATTACCAATGAGACAGCTATCCAACAGAGTTAAAATGAAGTGTTAGTAAGCAATTATAGGCCACTGCATGTACGGCCTTCAACAGTGTTCACATGAAGTGGTAGTACCCAATTATAGGCCACCGTTCAGTCTTCAACAATGAGAAAAACTCATACTGAATAATCTGCTATAAAAGGACCGACATGAAAAATAATAAACAATTCAAATGAGAAAACTAACGGCCTAATTTATGACAAAACACTTTACGAAAAACAAATACATGTTTCACAGACCTGAACCAACGACAACCACTGTACTACAGGCTCATGACTTGGGACAGGCACATAAAGAATGTGGCAGGGTTAAACATATTAGTGAGCGCTGGAACAGCGGTTTTACAACACATCATGAGAACAAACGCAATTTTCAAATTAAAAGATCGGTTAGAGGCAGTAAAACAAAGGACACAAAGCATCAACATGATCAAGTAAAGAGTACTCATAGATACTGAAAGACACAAAGCATCAACATGATCAAATAAAGAGTACTCATAGATACTGAAAGACACAAAGCATCAACATGATCAAGTAAACAGTACTCATAGATACTGAAAGACAGTTGAATGTCAATTACAACTAATAGATAAATCAGGTTTTCCCAGACTAGAGTATCAATTAGCTATATAGTACACATCCAATGGAATTAGTGTAAAGACGTCATAAACAATCTGATAAACACAATGCCATGACCTTGTGCAATACCAAAATATAAGTAAACAGTATCTACGCGATGTAGAATCATAACTGATAAACGCATGACCTTGTGCAATACCAAAATATAAGTAAACAATATCTACAGGATATAGATTCATAATTAGGTTATCAGAACTGTACGTATATAACAACATATAGTTAGTTATGTTTTAATTTTTTTTTAAAGTTAGTAGTCCTATAAAACAGTACTTAAAAATTAACTGTAAATTCATAACCTGGCTCAAAGAATTTATTCAAAGTATCAATTAGTTTACATGGAATGTGTCTAAATTTACGGGTTAAATAAACAACATTGCCGTAAATGTTAGGATGGAATATCCCGTTTGTAATAAGAATTCTACAGGTGCAATCAAACTTTAAACCAAATCTTTATATATATGAAGGAATTTGGTAAAGGTTTTTATTAATTAGTGGTAACAAAATCACTGCGTTTAATTTACTAGTTACCTGATACATAAATCAAGTTCATTGAAATCTAAAACCAACAACAAACACGGGCAAAGCGAGCAAGTTGAGAAGAGGCTAAAGGAATATGCCTGTTATGGTCTAATTGACATTTACAACACCTTCATTCAATTTCAGCACATTGTTCATATACATGTTTATCCTTTATTAAAGAAATTCGTAAATTAACTTTTGATAAAAACAAATTCTTGGAAGAAGATGTTGAAACTTAGGAATTGAATCTTACCAATTAAGTCCAGCGGAGCGAGGACAAAAATTATGTCTTTTGTTCCAAAAAATTACATTTTTTATTGTATGGGGAAGAGATGGGAGTGGGCCACCAACATTTTTCGATGGCCACCATCTAAAGTATTGAAAAATTGGACACCCCCTTCCTATGCTCCAAAATCTTCAAGACCCCCTTGTTTTCCTCCCCTTTCATGTTGCAAATTACCAGTCCCTTACTACAATCTGATGTCGTGTCACTTCGATGCGATAGCATACATCACTTTTTTCTTATACATTGCCACGTCACGCATTCCATGTCGATAAAATAGACAACAAACATTATTTATATCAGGGGAAGCAATTCAGTGTTTTTCGATTGTAAATTGCAACACAATACAAAATACAAAAATAATACAGTTTCCGCGCACAACATGGAATTTCTGAATAACCGACATCAATGTATGCTCACGACCTAAAGGGGACAACCATTTGATTCTGATTTAGGCAGATTTTGGAAATAATATTCTGGTCCTCTTTTAGGTGAAATTTCGGTAGTGACGTTTTGTATTTCAAAGAGCGTACTAGTAATCTATGTATTACTGGTAAATTATTAAGTCAGGGATTTCGTTACCACAAATTACTTACAGCCTTTACTAAATTCTTCCATAAATACAAAGATTTGGTTTTCAAGTTTGGCTGTACCTGTTGAAAATCGAGTCCGCAAATTTAGATACGATTCGGGTAACTAAACAATCCTTTAAATAAAATTGTTCTTAAAGGTTACTAATTCAAGACTATAATTACTATCTTTTGATACCTGTAATTTGGCATTGCACAAGGTCAGGTTTTCTCTCACTGTTAATGACGTCTTAACACTTAACCCATTAGACGTTGGATATGTACTGATTGGTATTTTAGTCTTAGATACATGACTTTTTTTATTTATGAGTTCCGTGCGAAAAGGGAGACTCAAAAATGGTATCAGGTATGATTGGGACCTAAAGTTAAAAAATGTATACTTATGCATTAATTCTTGAGTGAATTCATATTGTGAGTTCAGACATTTAGTACTTAGTACTGTGATTGAATGATAATTTGTCCATGAAAAATCCGCCTGATTGAATATAACTCCAATTAATCACTTATAAACTTGTTGTAAACGAAATTTAATGGAATAATAAGAAGAAATAATCTATACTTGCCGTGTATAAATTGCACAATACTTTATTGAAAAGATGTTGTTTTATATTTACACCTATCATTACATATTGAACTATCAAAATATTTGATCTCATTTTCAAGGTTACTTTCTTACCATATTTTACTTAGTCAATCCTAAATTGTAATGATTAATCTGGTTTGACATTTAAGTGTATCCTCTTGTGTTTTTATTTGACTAATACCGGTATACTGAATGCAACCGGAAGAAATCATTTTATAACTGGAAAGCTAACTCCAAGCAATTGAACTTTCATCAAGTTTGTCATATTTGACAAATATGGATATATTTGTTGTATTTTGTTCACTTGTTTTCCTAATTGTCAGTTTTAGGAAATGTTAAATAACATGAATAATATTGACTGCAACGGGAAGTACCTGTATTCTCAAATTGAAATGAAGTCATTGACAGACATCCAAATGAGTGTATTTGTATATTTACAATTGTCTAGCATTAATCATTTCTGTTGTCTTTATATGTAACATATTTTTATTTTTGAAATCATCATTATATAGTGGTAGAAAATCGATGCATAACATTCAAATTTGAAGCGTTCGTGCAAATATTCATGTCATACCATGTTCTCCAACATCCGAAGCAAGGTTGTCGGCTCTCCGAACTTTCCATAAGTCCTGCGTTTGATTGCCGAGTTCATGAGCTTCGGTCCTTGCTTGGAAGTTGATGATATACAAGTGATATTTGCCACAGAATGTTAAACATCAATCCACCCATCACAATGTATTGACGAAACAATCTTTTCGTCGTCGAAAATAACTATTTGATAAAAATATTCACGTAGTAAAAAAAACTTTTAGGTTGAGCACACTTAGGCACGCTGAAGACAAAAGTAGCTTTGTCCATGCATGTTTTGCTGTCAGGTGAAAACGGTGGCATCACAATATTCGTATTCGGTAATTCGGAATAAGAATGTATGTGGTCCAAGAGTTATGCATTCATAACTAGTTTGGTATAATAATATTGTTATGCCCTTCATAAAAAATAAAAGCTCTATTCATTATTTCATGGAAAAGTTATTAACTTTTCTCGATTTTTTAGAATAATTTTGGATATTAACTCAACTTTGAAAATGAATATCCTGGTCTGGTAAGAGCTGCAAAAAAACTAACCATACATAATACAAGATTAAAATGAATATTCTGCAACAGAATTTTTTTTTCGAGGGTTAGTTTTTTTATGATTTTGTCATGTTTTTTTATCTTTTAGTCGTGTTTCGTGGAATGAGCTTGTTTTAATAACAAGAGATACTAGTTCCAACTCAAATAAACACAATTTCACACGGAAATCATAGCATAGGTTTTTTTTTTTTTTTAATTTGAGTTACTCGTTAATTCAACGGAGTGCTCAGAAAGGTATTCTTGATTTATGTACAATGCATGCGATGTTAAATGCAAATGCAATCATCCACTATAACAGACATTCTAGAAATATGTTAAGACATATTTATTAAAAATGTTAAACAGCCAATTTAATGACATAACCACAAAAGCTAAATATAAAACACATTTACCCGCTGTTGTTTTCGAATCCTCGCTATAGCGAGAATTCACGTTGGTACTTATACTTTGTTTCGTTTTCAGTTCCAAATAATTTTGACATTTTTCTCGGTACTGCCATAATATAATATCATCAGCGTGGTTAATGTTAAATCCGAACTTTTGCAATAATGAGTTTGTTTGATGGTTTTGAATATCATGGGAGAATTTACAATTCGGAAGTGTACATTTCCCAATAAACCACTCTTTACAAATATGAGGGAACGGACATGTGTCGTCTGCAATAAAACATCCTTTGTCATTGTAATAAAAGCACGGTCCTGATATCGTTTTAAAAGGAAAGTCTTTAAGCCATTTGTTACACTTTTCCTTATAAAGTTTTGATAGAATAGAATATTGTTTCTCAACCGGAAATCCGCATTTTTTAAGTTTTTCTAACGATTCTTGGTTGAGCACGTGACGTTTGGTACACATATCTTTGCATCCATTGTCTGATAAAATAAATTTAGCACAAACATGAGGCCAAATACATGGTGAATGAGGGGTATCTTGGTTATAGTTGATGCAAGGTAATGGCACAAACGATATTGTCAGCATCGATCCTGGAAATTCTGAAAAAGATAAAATCATAATATAGATTAAGATCTGGCGCTGGTGCATGATCTATTGTAAACAACTGTTAAAATATCATATATGAGTCGAATATCAATTTGCAGAGATGGTAAAAAAAGAATGCATATGTTTCATGGACATTTTTTAAACAGTTGAACTCATTCCTAAAACTTTCCCTTAAAAATAAAGAATCAAATTTATAGTGTATATAAAGGACACGTGTTTTATCTACACTCAGAAAAGATTTCCACTCAAACCGTTACTATAGGGACTAGTGTGTTGGATTTGCAGAGAGGTGTGGTATTATTTGAAGGTGTCATTGTAACTTTCAGACTGTTCCCTTGCTTTTGTTTGTGTCAAATTCATGTAGGGAATTTGCTTTATAACTACAAAAGATATCCCTTCTTTTCAATTTTAAAACACAGTAATCATTTTATGATTGACACCATATATATGCTATATGAGGGTCTGGAAGGAGTATGCAGAATAGAGAAAAGGGCAAAAATAACGAGTAGAGAATAATAGGGGCTAAAATATAAAGAATAGAGAATAATGGAGTGCTAAAATATATATAAAAGAGAATAGAGGGGTGCTAAATTATAAAAATAGGGAAAACTAGCCTAAAATTTAAGAATATTAAAATGAAACCCCCATCTAAAACCTACTAGTATTGTGTTGTAAAACTCTTCTTTCAAATATATAGTGCAACAGCCTACAAGGAGCTTCCCAAAGGTAAATTACCTGGTATTTCCATATCATTTATAACATCTACAATATCCGGCATCTTTTCGTCCAGTCCAGCTTGCAACAACATATATGTGTATGGCTTGAGTGCTTCAGGTACCTCACAACTGTCTAATTTTAAAATAATTGGCGGGAAACCTTTGTTGTCCATGTGTGATTGGACGATTTCAGTCATTTCAATATGGCACCAATAACTATTTTTGAAGTTTTCTGATAGAAGGACAATAGTTTTGAGAGATTTTTTCATGTATGTTTTTATGTTGTCCTCAATAAGATGACCAGCTTGAAACTCAATTTCGTGTAAACAACATTTAAAGTTACTTTCACTTAGTTTCGTAAACAAAGTATGTGCAATCTGTCGGTCTGGTTCCATTGTTGCGTATGAAATGAACACGTGGTATGTTTTCCCATCTGGAAGCTTAAACGGTTGTCTACCTCCATTTTCTATATAACTGCAGTGCGTCATTGTTCTTTTTTCTCCTCTTTCTTTCACTTTTTTACATTTTTTTTTACTCTCCCTCGAAACAGTCTGAAACATGAAAAACAAAAAGAAAATAACAAAAGTACCCAACTCCGAGGAAAATTTAAAACGGAAAGACCCTATTCAAATGGTAAAATCAAAAGCTCAAACACATCAAACGAATGAAAAACAACTGTCATATTCCTGACTTGTTACATGTAGAAAATGGTGGATTAAACCTCGTTTTACAGCTAGCTGACATCTCACTTGTATGACAATTTATGTTATACACTTCATAGTGGACCAAAGTAAATGACACAAATGACAAAAAAAAACTGCTAGAGGTCAATTTTATGTCTTCAACAATAAAACTGCATGGTGTCTTTACAAAATGGTCACAAGCTCCCAACTGCCTCGCTGGCTTCGTGGTAGCGTGATCGACTAAAATACGGTCGGTCGATGGTTCGATCCTCGACCGGGTAAAACCAAAGACTTGTAAATTGATATTTGCTGATTCGCGGCATTTAGGAGTAAGAGAAAAGGCTGGTCAGCTCCTAATCAGAATAACATGTATGGTAGGGTGGCATGTCTTCCTGTGGATTGTTTCCTTTGGAACTAATACGTCACAAATTCGGTTCAGTATGTCGGTCTAGTACAAAGCAGATTTCATATTCATAACATGTCTTTGTCTTGAAAATAAACGAGAGGTTTAGCTAGCTATAAAACCAGGTTTAATCCATCATTTTCTACATAATGAAATGTCTGTACCAAGTCAGGAATATGACAGTTGTTTTCATTCGTTTGATGTGTTTGAGCTTTTGATTTTGCCATTTGATATAGGACTTTCCGTTTATGAATTTTCCTTGGAGTATTTTTGTTATTTTACTTATGATTAAGCATTTATTTTGACACTAGCAGTTAAAAAGTCATCAATTCATCCAGTCGAGAAAGGTATGAATAAATATAACACGGATTGTCAAAGTTCTACATTCTGACAACACCAAATTCTCCAAACTGATGAGATTCCTGACATGAAACAGGCACATCAAACGAATGGATAACAACTTTCATACTCATCAGGAACCTGTTGTTCAGTGGTTGTCGTTTTTTGATGTGGTTCATAAGTGTTTCTCGTTTCTCGTTTTTTTATATAGATAAGACCGTTGGTTTTTCTGTTGGAATTGTTTAAAAGGGAGGAACCATTTACCCCAAAGGGTGGGTGAGTTATGGTTTTTTATCTGAGTCAGACATTTTTTTCGCGCATAGCGGGAACATATTTTTTTAGTTTTTCGATGCATCAATCAAATAATTCTTTTCAAAATTTAACACTATAAGGTATGGGGAAAATATCTGGATTCAGAATATTTTTTTTGTCATCTGCTTGACTACAATATTTTTTTCCCTCAAATTGGGGATCAGAATATTTTTTTTAGGAAAAAACCATAACCATAACCCCCCCCCCCCCCTTTTTAAGTTAAATGGTCGTTCCCTCATTTTGGGGCCCTTTATAGCTTGCTGTTCGGTGTGAGCCAAGGCTCCGTGTTGAAGGCCATATTTTGACCTATAATTGTTTACTATTCACACATTGTGACTTGGATGGAGAGTTGTCTCATTGGCACTCATACCACATCTTCTTATTTCTACGTATGACAGGGTTAAACTAGTTGGTCAACTCTTCCCCTTCTTAATTTAAATCTGTGGACTAAAAAAAGGTACATAAAATTAAGATTTTGGTCAATTTTAATATATTTTAATATCTGTCTGATAGATGGCTACTAATCGTACAGTGGCAAATACTACATGCATATTCAATACCTTACATATAATATGTTAATATATTACGGATTACAAATGTGTTAAGTTTTGTAATTGGATAACTACAAATTTAAAGAGATGTCAGTATTATGAATATGAAACCTAATATTGCGTGAACCCCCTGAGGGGTTCAGGGGGTTCACGCCGATATATTGGTGAGTTTTGGTAGCTTGAATGGGCCACTTCGATATCATCGGAAACAAGATTCTCGGAACGGCTCGAACATTTTCGATCATTAATACAGGTAGTTACATGTGTTTGATACGGTCCCTCTATTGATATGTTACCACGTGACATTGTATTAATATTTCTACAATCAAATTAAAGTTCATTTGTAGATCCGAAAGTAAAAAAGTAAAGAATAGATTGCACTAAGAAAGCCATTTATATATTCCAACCTTTTTTGCATTTGACAGAACATATGCGTTTTTATTTGAAAGTATTAAATATGAAGTATAATGATATTGCAATTATATAATTTATGTTTTGAGACGGTCCCTGTACGCGTTGTTTGTGTAGTATTTAATATAACGTGCTATTGTGCATTGTGACAATAAACATGTGAATAATATACTGACATTAAATTATGTCCAAGAATAAATGATAATTTCTGAACGTTTAACATGCCATCATAGCCTGAGCAAATGTCGGAAAGCAAGAAGAAAAAACAAAACGAGATTACTGTTAAACATATTTATCTGAAGTCGGAAAACAGAAAGATAATTAAACAAAACGATATTCTGTCTAAAATAGTTATTTTCATTAATAGATACTTACAGACCAAGGGAATATTCATTAAAATTATTAAAGTTTAAACTGAAACTAAATTTATCATTAATAGAATATAATTAGTAATGTTATATTATCATCCCGCGGGTTTTAACGGTGAATACATTTATGAAAATCATATGCAATATATGAGTACCAATTATCAGGAACGAACACAAATACATTAGTATCTAATGTTTAAACTGTAGGGAATGTAATTAATATTTTACAATACTCATAATTACTACGTATACGTTACTAATTTTATACCGTTTATGTATGGATTTATAAGTCTCTGCTTATATTTTGTATAGCAATAAAATAGAAAGTTAGACTTGAAGAAGAGATTGATTTGATAAAAAATTGCCATTAGTAAATATTTGACGTTTGTGTTTATTGATAGTATATTTTAAATTTCTGGAAAAGTTTTATTAACAGCTAGGAATGTATGTTAATTAAATTTTAACTCTTTTTTTGTTTTCAATAGTTCAACCTTATAGCATCTTCAGGGGCGGATCCAGCCATTTTTAAAAAGGGGGTTCCAACCATATGTCCCCATTTAAAACCATTGATCGTCAAAAAAAAATGTGGGTTCAACCCCCCCCCCCCCCCCCCTCTCCCCACCCCTGAATCCGCCACTGATCTTAATCTTTCAAAATTGCAATGATTGTACGATTTTGAAAATTGTATGCATTGTGTTGACCAGCTACCCTACAAACGTCTTGCCGTTTATTTACATAATATTACTATTATCATTACACCCTGTTCACACGACACAACAAAATCAGATTTAAAATCTGGTTTGACAACAATATTGGTTTGCGTTGACACAAATTCCAGATTGAATTGCAATGAATCCGTAGTCAAACAAACCTCTTGAGGTAGGAAGTTTAACATCCGAATTCAACTAACATTAGATTTGAACCTAGAATATCAGTGCGTATGCTTGCCATTTACTATTTCTTGCGCAAGAAAACTACGTGCTTATAAGTATGAACTCTTACGTTTATTCCTAAAAGTTGTGTGCTTAGCGGAGAAACAGCAAGTACTACCTTACTGAAAAATATCAGCCTCCTGCAAATATTTGCTGCAAGTCTGCAACGCTGCTGCAAACAATTTACCATGCAAATGAGTGTTTACTGCAGACATGCTGCAAACTTTTTTATGCAAATTAATCTTTCTCCTGCGTGTTTGCTGCAAACTTGCAGGAACTACATACAATTAAACAATTAACAAATTTCATGTTGTGTACACATCACATTATCTATATTATACAGCAAATTCTGAAAAAGCTAGGTTACAAACATACATACAATAATTCAAATACTTCATCATTTGCAAAATTATCATAGCATAAGTAAATACCTTTTAAGAAATAGTTTAACGCTTTTTTGTTGTTGAAGTGCTCAAATGAATTGAATATCTAAAATACAAAAGAAGGGTTTATTTGAAATGCATTTTGTGCCTACAGCTAGTTAAATTAATTTTATCACAAAATTCAATTTGACTTATTGCAACATAATATTTAATAAGTTACAATCTCCAAACATATTAGAGAGTACAGTATATTTGTTACATTTTTGCAAATGTTTTTTTCAAACCTTCAGGAAGAATTTCATAAATTTACAGTTCTATGAAGAATTTGTACTTACAAATAATGTCTTTGAAAACTAAACATTTAATATCCAACCTAAAATGCTTCCCTGAACACTAATGAATAACATGACTCAAACATCATCAACATATAGTTAAGCACCGAATTTCAGATCTTTATCTTCCAGGAAGATACCAATAGGCATGCCTAGTAATTTTATGTAATTCTTGTAATGCTCTTGCAAACATATAGAATTGTCAAAGATTTCTGCAATTTAGCTGCGAACATCCCTTATATTCTAGTTTTTCCTGAAATCTTACTGCAAACATAATTGTTTCTGCAAACTTGCCGCAAGCTTGCAGCAACAAACTGCAATGTTTGCAGGAGGTTTGCAGCTAGCTGCAAACATCTGCAAACGTAATTCAAAGGGTTCCTGCAAGTTTTTTGTTTGCAGCAGATCTGCAGCAAACATTTCAGTTCTGTAAGAGTAGATCTTAAAGTATGGTTTAACCATGGACATATAAAATCTACGGGTTCAGAAAATGATGGGTCTAAGGGGTTTTAACTAAAAAAGGGAAAGGGGGCAATGCTTACGTTTCTCATAATTTTACTTTGTGTAAAAACAAATCTGGTGGTATGGGGTTTTAAAACAAACTATTATTTTATCGCCGTTTATCTCTCTGAACAATCCAAAGATTTAACTATTACTGACGAAACAAATAAGACGTAACGTAAAAAGAGAACTTTTAGAAATTAATTCAAGACTGGGAAGAACTTTAATATTATATATAACAGTTGTTTAAACAAATATAAAAGATATTACAATTCAGTTTTATCCTATGATATGCATACACGATATGAAATATTTGCCACTGGACGTTAAGCAACTAACAATAAATCAATCAAAACATAGACAATAACTGAAATTTGATAAATATTTTACGAGCTATCAACTTTGATATCAACATCTTCTTTGTGCCAATTTCAGCTGCATTAAAAATAGTCTGTTCCTAAGACAGTTCTTAGAGAATGCTCTTTTAGACTGTACTGTTAATCAATCATACGACATCTCCTTAATATTTTTATTTATAAAGTTACAGGAAGCTTGTTAATGTTGTTCAAGTTTAAAGTTAGCGGTTAGAATTTCTTGCATGTTATTTTTTGTAAATTGGCACATATAATGTGTTAAAGTTCTATATTAGCAATTCTTCGTGTTTTGCATGTTTTAGCTGGGACTAATAATATGAATGTATTATTCCCAGTTGCAGTTACTATTTGGTAATTAATTAATCAATAGATAAAAAACGATGACATTTTATCATGATTTTCAGAAGAAGTTAAATTCAACTGGGGTCTGGTTTTCGAAAGTATCTTGGACCTGTTTATCGAAGCGCTCTTATGACAAGAACATGTCCTAAGGTCATCTTAGGACGTATCTTTGTCCTAAGTGCGTTTATCAAACATGTCGTAACTTAGGAAAAGTCATAGGAATCGTCCTAACTTTAGGACACCTAAGTAGGTGTCTTAAGATGGTTTTAGGATGGTCCTAACTTTAGGATATATTTTATGATGGTTATTTTGTAAACAAATACGACCGCCACCGATATATGGCTCCCCCTTTTTCTAAATATTTTTCTATTTTCACTTATTTAATGTGTTCTTGCTCTTATCCAAAAGATATCACAAAAACAGTAGTATATATATGACACCCCTCTGTTCATATTTTCCACGTGGAAAATAATAATAGAGGGGCATCGTATATATATATATATTGCTTATATATATATATATATATATATATATATATATATATATATATATATATATATATTAACAAGTCTAAATTGAAAACAACGTTCAAACCTATGATTGCGTTGGATAAAAACCGCAATTTTTATACGTGTGCATGCAAAACAAATTTCTTGTTAGAGGGGTCTAAATACAGAACAAACAACATTTTCCAAAAGACCAAAAAAGTGAAAAAGTATATTTTAACAAAACGCATTTGACTAACAGGTCGAACAACAAATGTTCTTAAACCCTGCTGACTGCCATTGGCGATTACCAAATAAACGGATCACAAGGTGTAATAAATGGATCTTAATTATAAATTTAATACCAATCAGAAAACAATAAACTTGCGGCAAAGATGGTATACCGCAAACAAAGGTGCAAAGATTTTTGTACACCATATCCGGATTTCGACAATTAATGTCTCTTCAGTGATGTTAGGAATCGAAACGGTATTTGGAAGGCCATATAATTTACCTCAATTTAGGATAGACTCTTGAATTTTGAGGAGTCAAAATAGGATGAACGGATCATATGAACCCGAAGGCAAATATAATACAAGCCCAAACGAAAAAATTTAAACAAGTCTAAATTGAAAACAACGTTCAAACCTATGATTGCGTTGGATAAAAACCGCAATTTTTATACGTGTGCATGCAAAACAAATTTCTTGTTAGAGGGGTCTAAATACAGCACATACAACATTTTCCAAAAGACCAAAAAAGTGAAAAAGTATATTTTTACAAAACGCATTTGACTAACAGGTCGAACAATAAATGTTCTTAAACCCTGCTGACTGCCATTGGCGATTGCCAAATAAACGGATCACAAGGTGTAATAAATTGATCTTAATTATAAATTCAATACCAAACAGAAAACAATAAACTTGCGGCAAAGATGGTATACCGCAAATAAAGGTGCAAAGATTTTTGTACACCATATCCGGATTTCGACAATTAATGTCTCTTCAGTGATGTTAGGAATCGAAACGGTATTTGGAAGGCCATATAATTTACCTCAATTTAGGATAGACTCTTGAATTTTGAGGAGTCAAAATAGGATGAACGGATCATATAAACCCGAAGGCAAATATAATACAAGCCCAAACGAAAAAATATAAACAAGTCTAAATTGAAAACAACGTTCAAACCTATGATTGCGTTGGATAAAAACCGCAATTTTTATACTTGTGCATGCAAAACAAATTTCTTGTTAGAGGGGTCTAAATACAGCACAAACAACAGTTTTCTAAAAGACCAAAAAAGAGAAAAAATATATATATAAAACACATAAAATAAATGGACATAGGATAATATATAAAAGAATATTTACTTTAAAAAATGTTCAGAAAAAGGGGGTCCATTACCCAAGCGCATGTGATCCGTAATGAAATAATTAATGTATTCCATATTTTTATGAAAGATGCACAAGATTTGCCTTTGAACTCTGTAAAGTATAAAACCGTGACACTTCGAATTAAACTCACTCAAAAATACATAATGATTGTTATCGATTGTCTTTTATTAGTTTTCACTGTTACTGCTGTTTACAAATAATTTGATCAATTATGATATAAAACGCTGTTACATTTTTTGTGTTTTTGTTTTTGTTGCATAGAGTTTGAATGTACCATTATTAGATAACTATTATTTCTTTTCTTTATGATGATACTAATAATATTTCTAATTTTTAATCTTGTAATTATTTACTACTGGTGAAATTCAATGCATTCTTAAACATTTAAATTTTTTAAATTCCTATTTACCTTTACGCTAACACTTAGGACAGCGGTTAGGACATCCTAGCTAAGATAGTCCTAAGATAGCTTCGATGTGCATGCTGAGACATGTCGGAAGTCGGTAATAACAATATCCTAATTTATTCATAAGAGAGGTCTTAGGACAAATCCTATGACAGCTTCGATAAACAGGCCCCTTATGACTTAGACTTGTCTTATGATGGTCTTAGGACGTGTCATAGTCGTAAGACATGTTTTCGAAAGTGTCCCAAGTTACAATATGTCATAACTTTTATCGTAAACTTAAGACACCTCGAGACATGACTTATGGTGGTCTTATGCTTATCAACTAAAATCTTAATTACTTTTCATATATAAGTTCATGTTCATTACAATGAAATCAATACTTGTGCTGCTAAGTTTGCTAAATAGTAAAGATTTATTTTTCTCCACTTCGTCGATTATAATTGGAATCTCCTGCGACGTAAAATTTTGACTCCTTTTCTTACTTTTGATTTTGTATAATAAATATATATATATATATTATTTTTGTACCTTGTATAGTACTTTAAAAACGTATTTTCACGGGCATTTAGTTAAGCATGTACTCGATGTACAGAATCTTAAAAGTATTCATAATTAGATTACACTCCATGTATGATTATACATTAACGCGAAGTTCAAGATTTATTATATAAAAACTAAATTAAAACAAGTTATCAACTCAGATTTTAATTACTGTTTGTATGTTATTTCATGTTTATTATAATGAAAAAACTTAAATATTCGTAAATAATAAATATTATGTTCATACTCATTATTTTTATATCTATTTTTATCATTTTTTTAGCATTATTTAAAATAAAGTAAAATATTTTCACTTATGACAGTCATAAGAGCATCATAGGTATGACTATCTTAGGACAGCTTTGATTTACATTCTATGATATATCCTATGATAGCCATAAAATTTGTCCTAAGATATATCTTATGACATATCTTAGGATACTTTCGAAAACCAGGCCCCAGTATGATAACAAACCATCGACACAAATTCCATTTAACTAGAAATTTATTAGCCTCCATACGGTTTTCATGAACTGAAGATCGAACAATTCAAACCCCCCAATGAAGGCCTCATTTATACATACAAATTTCGCCGGAATGCGGAAGACAGATGTATGGTATATTGCAATCACTTCAACTGTACCAAAGATAATGATTAAAACATTTAAAAACTATTTTATAAGCTTATAAAGTAGAGGAGGGACTAATCAGTGAATCTTATCTTAAA